AGCTGGGCGGGCAAGCTGCTAAAAACTTGATGAGAGGGCCGCCGCTCGAAACGTTCACCGTCGTGATGAGGCCCTTGACCACCCTCCCATCGCCACCACGCACGCCTGCATGTAAAAGTTGTGCAGGCGGCTGTCCTGACACGTTTTTCGAAACTGCTACGAGCTCCACAGGGGACGAGAGAATCGCCTGCGGCTGCTGGCACCCTCTGCCACCCGATGCCACAGAGGGCGATGGTGGTGAGCAGTGCATACAGCCGCTGGCGTCTGCAATCGAAGTAGACGAGACGCATGTCGACCATGTCTCGCCACGAGGAGGTAGCACATGTGGCGACCTCTGCTGAGCCTGCATCGCAGCAGGCCCAGTGAGTGCACCGCTCGACGCCGAGGAACCAGTCGCCCCCGAACTCCCAGCGCTGCATGCCGAACCCCCCGAGGTCGAGGTAGTAGGCGGAGAAGAACCTGAGAAAGTACCAGACATCATCATGGCGAACGACAATAAACATCGTAGCAAAAGCATGATTATCCAGCAATTAATACGTGCTCCAGGCCGTCGGGGGGGCACAGCCGGTCGGTCGGAATAAGCAGACGGGGGCCATGGGGCGGAGGGGTGCGGGGAGGAAGGGGAGCAGGGGGGCGCAAGGGCACGGTCGGGCAGACGGGGGGGGCACGGCCATCGGTCGGAATAGGCAGACGGGGGCGACGGGGCGGGGGGGTGCGGAGGGGGAAGGGAAGCAGGGGAACGGGAGGGCACGGTCGGGCAGGCAGTGGCACGGTCGGTCGGTCGGAATAAGCGGACGGGGGGCACGGGGCGGAGGGGTGCGGAGGAGACAGGGGGACGGGAGGGCACGGTCGGTCAGAGAGGGGTGCACGGTCGGTCGGTCGGACTAAGCAGACGGGCGCCACGGAGCGGAGGAGCGCGGGGGGGGCAAGGGGGACGGGAGGGCACGGTCGGGCAGAAGGGGGGGGACACGGTCGGTCGGTCGGAATAAGCAGACGGGGGCCACGGGGTGGAAGGGTGCGGGGGGGGAACTGGGGAGCGGGAGGGCACGGTCGGGCAGAAGGGGGGGGCACGGTCGGGTCGGTCGGAATACGCAGACGGGGGCCGCGGGCCGGATGGGTGCGGGGGGGGGGGGGCAGGGGGACGGGGAGGGCACGGTCGGGCACATGGGGGGCACGGTCGGTCGGTTGGAATACGAGGGCCACAGGGCGGAGGGGCGTGGGGAGGGGGAGCAGGGGGACGGGAGAGCACGGTCGGGCAGGGAGGGGCACGGTCGGTCGGTCGGAATCAGCAGAGAAGCGGAGGGGTGCGGGCGGGGGCAGGGGACGGGAGGGCACGGTCGGGCAGAGAGGCAGGGGCACGGTCGGTCGGTCGGAATAAGCAGACGGGGGCCACGAAGCGGAGGGGTGCGAGGGGGAGCAGGGAGACGGGAGGGCACGGACAGCACACATAAAAGCACGTATCGCAGCACACGTCCCAGCACACATCCCAGTCCAGCACACATCCCAGGAACGGTCGGCTGGTAGAAATAATGCAGTGCGAGATCACACCGGTAGTCATTTTGATCGCTTCGCTCATTCCGCTGGCCCATTTCGCATCACGGTGGCTGCATGGCGGTGTGCTCGTACCCATGGGGAACGGTGGAGCAGGCAGGATTGTCCTCGAGGAGATCTTTGGAGATGTGGCTCGCACCCTGCTGAAGAGAGCTGGTAAACTGCCCCAGAGGGCGCCAAGATGGCTCAAGAGAGCTCCAGCTGAGTTTCGAGACGCACCTAGGTTTTGGGTCAGAGTCCTCTCTCGGGAGCCTTTGGGTAGCCGTTTTGAGGCCTCCGGGGAGCCTCTTGGGGGCTTCCTGGGTGCATCTTGTGGTCTCCTGGGGGCTTGTTGGGAGTCTTGGGAGCATCTTTGGGGGCCTCTACGGGCTTCCTGGGCGCCTTCCCGGGCCAAGAGCTCGAAAGATCCGTTCGGGTTCCCCCCTCAGGGCCCCCTCTTCGGGCCATCCTGGGGCCGTCTTGCAGGCCTCTTGGACCGTCTTAGGGCCATCTTGGGCCATTAGGGGGCCCTCTGTGAGGCTTTTTGGGCAGTCTTGGGGCGATCGTGGGGCCTTTTGGGCCGTCCAGGCCGGTCGGCAGCTCGAAAAGGCAGTACCGCCAAAATCGTCCGATGGCCCAAGCGAGGTCAATGATTTTCGCGTATTCGGGGCCTCTCGAAGTCCTCTTGGAACCCTCCTGGAGCTTCTTGGGAGCTTCGCGGGCCGTCTTTGGACCAACATGGGCCATCTTGGAACGCTCTTGGCCTGAGGCCATGGGGCGTGCCACCCTTTTGGCGCTGCCAGGCCACCCCTTTGCGGCGGATTGGCCGCAAGCCAATTCAGTTGGAACTGGCCAGTGGCACGTGAGCTACAGTGGGGGTGTTGGTTAAGGAATGTGCCCAGGAGGCTTCAGACCCTGGAGGATTCCTTATCTGATGATGGATATCTACTGGACTTCTGGAATCCGCCTGCTGGAATTCTCGATTCCGACCGCGGCGTTGTCTGGACCTCGATGTGGGCTCCAGTCATGCTGATACCTTCTGGAGCAGAATGACTTTCCAATGACGTCCAGTCGCATTTCCTTTGTAGACTGATTTTCGCGACACGGGGACGTGTTCCTCGCCCCCGCTTCTCGTCCGTATGTGCAGGGCTCTGGGCCAATTCGATCGTTCCTTCAGGTTTCAATGGCCTTGGCGCGGCTGATTATGTCCGCCCTGGGCCACTGCGAACTGCTGTCGGGAGGAAGTTCTTTGCGATTGGCATGTGCTGAGGTGCACTGAGTGTTCACGGCGCGTTCCGCGACGTAACACCTCTCAGAGGGTGCGGCACGTGAGGGGGATGTCTGCGTCGCCCTCGTCGCGACCAGCCAGTTGGGGATACCGCAATCGCTTCTTTGAAATTGGCAGGGACGGAGTACCCGCTGGAACAGGTGATGGATTGCCGCTCCGATGTCTCTATCAAGAAACCTGATGGGGGCGGAAGTGACATCCATGGTCAATCCACGATCGGAGTTCCATCGGCTTCCAGACACCGGGTTCCATACCCAACAGTTCCTTATCCAACGCCCTCACCGCATAGGGTGCCGCCCACCGCTTCACGACTGCGTAAGACCAGGGTGAGCTGGAATGTCGCCCAGGGCGAACGAGCCCGAGGCCAATGGCGGCGGCTTCGCGCAAGGCCATCCCTCGACGCATCAAGAAGCAAGGGGCTACTCCTAAACCAATCGAGGGAGCACGGGCGGTGCTTACCCCTCAACCGATGAGGTCGACAAGTCCCTCCAATGATGACGAGGTCGGCGAGGAGGCGCGAGGAGGGGGGTGGCGCGCGAGGAGGCAAGGCGGCCGCGGAGGACGGGGGGGAGGAGGAGGAGGAGGAGGAGGAGGAGGAGGAGGAGGAGGAGGAGAGGAGGAGGAGGAGGAGGAGGAGGGAGGAGGAGGAGGAGGAGGAGGAGGGGGAGGAGGGGGAGGAGGAGGAGGGGGGAGGAGGAGGAGGAGGAGGAGGAGGAGGAGGAGGGGGAGGAGGAGCAGGAGGAGGAGGAGGAGGAGGTGATATCCCCGCCCCCGCCCTCCACGATGAGGAGGTCGGCTCAGCCCTCCGTGCGCATGCGCTCGCAGTCCTGCTGGCACCGCTCCGTCGCGCTCGGCCAGCTGGGCCCCCTCTGGGTCCGACTGGCCGACGCGGCGCTCTGGGGCCCAGCTGCGCTCGCTGACCTGGGGCGGCGGTGGCGGCGGCTCTAGCGTTAAGTCGGGCCTGTCCCCCATACAGGGGATTTTCGACGAAAAATTAAAAATACCCTAGAAATACCCCAAAAAGGCCAAAAAATATTCCAACAAAAATAGTCCCCAGACTATTTTTTTATTATTTTTGAGGCATTTCGGGGGTATGTCTTATTTTTCGCCGAAAATCCCCATGTAGGGGGACAGGCCCGACTTAACCCTAGCGCTCACGGGGCTGGCGCCCCTGCAATAACGGCCGCCGCTGGCCGCTGCCCATGCAGCTCACGGGAAACCACCCGCCCCACGATGGAGCTGCAATTCACGGCACCCCTCCCCCGCCGGTGGCGCTGCACCCGAAGACGCTGGCCGCACCCCAGTTGGACGCGGCACACAGGGCAGCCCCAGTCGCCGCGCCAGGGGTCGCGGCTGGGAGGCTGCTTGCGGGGCGTACTGGCGCGATGGGCTTGGGCTTCCGCTTCCACCAGACTCCTCGCGTTGTCAGTCAGAACGAAGCCTCAGCGGCGCGCCTGGAGTGGCAGGTTGCGTTCGGCGAAGACCAAGACGTTCTGGCACATCTCCGTGATTTTGCGGCAGGACCCCGCCAGGCTAATCTCGGGCAACAGGACTCACCGAGCCTCGGCAATGCCCGTGTGCAGGGTCGATCACCGTCCAATTGGCGAAGGGAAGTTTGACGACAACTACTCCCTCCGTGCATGCTGTATGGGCGATTGAGTTGTCGATAAACTTGCCATCCAAGAGAAGGGGCTTCTCCGGAGAGGGTTACGACGGAAGCAGGTGCAACATTAGTTCAGAGCAGCAACAGCTCACCCACGCTCATGATGTGGCGCTGGCCGAGCATGATATGCTCGTGCTCCTCCTTGTTGTCCAACTCTGCTGTTGTTCCTGGAGCGAGGATGAAGGAGCAGCGGAGGAGGGGGTAAAGATAGGGAAAAAGAAAAAAGTGGGAGGAGGAGTGAAAGACGGAGGAGGGGGAAGGTGGGAGGCAGAGGAGAAGAAGGATAAAGAAGAACGAGGAGGCGGAAGGAGGAGGAAGGAGGAGAAGGAGGAGGAACAGGAGAAAGAGGATGAGGAGGAGAAGTGGTAGGAGAAGGAGAAGGAGGAGGAAGGGAGGAGGACGAGGAGGAGGAGGAGGAGGAGGAGGAGAGGAGGAGGAGGATGAGGAGGAGGACAAGGAGAAGGAGGAGGAGGAGGAGGCGGTGGAGGAGGAGGAGGAGGGGGGGCCCTCCTCGCAAAGGCCGCGGAGGCGAAGTCGCGGGCGTGCGCGGTGCTGGTGAAGGCGGGCGCCCCCGCCCCCCCCCCCGACGACGACGGACGAGGCACGAGCCTCAGACCAGCGACGACGATCGAGGAAGACAAGCTGGCACATGTACACATGGACTCTCGGAGTTCCGCGCGGGTCTCTCGGATCGGCGCTGGGGCCCCCCGGGCAGCGCCTCTGGCGCCGCCCTTGGCACGCTCCGCGCGCCAGGGAGAGGGAGGCCCGGCGCGGATCAAGAAATCCGCGTGGGACTCCGAAGGTTGATATTTCATGCTGGTTGTTCTCCTTCTGGACGACGACACTGACGACGAGATCGACGACGGCGACGGCGTCGGCGACGATGACGCCTCTGAGGTTTGGGGGCGTCTCTCTCGAGGAGCTTGAGCAGATAATAGAGTGGAGGGGGAGGAGGAGGAGGAGGAGGAGGAGGAGGAGGAGGAGGAGGAGGAGGAGGAGCAGGAGCAGGAGCAGGAGCAGGAGCAGGAGCAGGAGCAGGAGCAGCAGCAGCAGCAGCAGCAGCAGCAGCAGCAGCAGCAGGAGGAGCAGGAGGAGGAGGAGGATGGGGAAGAGGGGAAGAAGGTACGAGGGCGTTTTGAAAGATGAGGAGGAGGAGAAGGAGGACAGGAGGAGCACAAGGAGGAGATAATAGGAGGAGGAGGAGTAGGAGGAGGGAAAAGGAGGAAGGGGGAGGAAGGGGGAAGAATGGCGGGAGAGCAGGAGGGCAGGCGGGCGGGAAGGCGAGGGAACGGAAAGGAGGGGGAGGAAGCGGAGAAACGAGGAGGAGCAGGAGTGGGGCAGAAGTCAAGTTAGCCGGGCCGAACGAGTCGGCCATGTGGCACACGGCGACACTGGGAGCGGACCGTGCCCCCACCGGGCGAGCGGGCGGCGCTCGCGCGCGGCCCCACTTCGACGGCGCGGCCGGGGGAAAGGGAAACGCGGACCGTGCACGGGCGAGGGCGGACCCTCTCGACGCAGACAGACATTCCGTACTCACTGAAGCTATCATGGACTTACCAAAATCAAGGGAAGAACTGTCCCCTTGATTTGTTACTAGCGAGGATTCGAGGAACCTCAGATCCTCAGATCCTAGCGAAAAGTTGCCTATCCGTATTCACTATACCGTATTCACTGAGGAATCAAGGGAAGAAAACCACCCCGGCCCCGACAAGTGGCGTTTACTAAACGGCCTTGGGCGTTCACTACTCGGTCCTGCCCTGTTCGACTCCTTCCATGGGTGCGTTTACTAAACGGTTTCGCTTGACGGGGTGCTTGTTATGGTGGGGGGTATCTTCTGCCCTCTAAATAAGATGCCCATGGTCTCGGCCGCGGGGGGGGGCGCACACCAGGGCGGAGGACGTGAGGCCGCTCAGCATCGTCAACACAGACAACCGCTTGTGGCCAACGCCGTGAGCTTGTGAATCGAACCCCTCCTGAGAAAGGCAGTCCCCAGCATGCAGCAGGGTTTGCCAGCGGAGCGCTCGACGTTGAAGAACGTTGTCGAAGTGGACGCCGCCATGCGCGAGCTTCCCCTGCACTTCGAGGCGCCGGCCGCGGTCTGTTACGACTTCTAGGCAGCGTTCCCCTCGCTCGCGCACGATTTCCTGACGCGCGCCCTGCGCCAGCTGGGTCTGCCGCCGTCGGTGTGTAGATTTACCGAGGGCCTGTACTGGGGGCACGGTTGCAAGCTCGCCGTCGGAGGGAGTTTACATCAAGGATTCCAGATTCAGGCTGGGATCAGGCAGGGTTGCCCGTTATCGCCATCGTTGTTTGCCGTTGTATGTAGTCGATATGTTGCTGCGGAGGTTGGGCCGGACACGACCTTCGGCAACAGTGCGGACTTACGCAGATGACCTCGTATTTGTGCTTCCTGATCTGGCCGAGGTGCTCCCCTCGCTCGTCCCCCTCTTCAGCGCGTTCGCAGCGTCGTCGGGTGCACGGTTGAACTTTCGCAAGGCGGTTGTCGTGCCGCTCGGAGACCGCGCGACCGAGGAGGTGTTGGATGGCATCGCGGCCCGCTGTCCTACGTGGGCCGTGCAATGCCATCTCTGGGTCAAATATCTCAGCTTCGTTTTGGGCCCCGGCCGCAGAAAGCGGGGCGGGGGCGCGGCTTTGAAGAAAGCGCATGAGCGCGCCCACCGATGGAAGAATATCGCACTCGGGCTGCAATTGGCCGCGATGGTCTGCCGCGTCTACGTTGCCTCCAATGTGAGTTCCTTGTTGCATTTGGACGAGTTGCCTGCCAGTTGGCCCGCCATTGAAATGTGCTTGCTCCGCGCGCTGGTGCAGGCCCTCACAAGTGGTGCGACGCATCTGATCTGCACGGCCTACACAGGGATTTCGGTTTCCGGCAGGAGTTCGTCACTTTGCAGCTCCTCTCCTTGGCGGCAAAGTTCTGCGTGCTACATCGAGAGGCTCACGCCACGGGCGCTTTGCGGTGTCGCACCTGGCTCCAGAGGCTGGCGGCTGAAGAAACAGCATCGCCGCGAGTCGCGCGGCGGGGGAGGCGGTCGACATGGTTCGACATAGTTTGCCATTCAACAAGCTCCGCTGTGAAGAGCGTCCGGCAGGCCGGCATCTTGTTGACAAGAGCCCACCAGCGGGCGGCAGGCACCGCGCGAACATGGACGCAGGCGCAGGAGCGTCGATCAGTCACGGGGCTTCAACGTGCTACTCGCGATATGTTTCAGTAGCGGGGACAGCGTGACTTTGAACGCTGGATGCGTTCGAAGCTCGAGCACTGGGTGTTCCCAGTATTTCCCCATCTACGTGCGCAAAAAGCTGTTGTGATGCTACAGCGGCCAACAGCATTGGTGCCTCCCCCGAGTGCCCACAGCGGTCATCCGTACGCTGTGGTCCAGATGGCGTACGGGCCGCCGATTTGGCTGCAGAAACGCTTGCTTGCACTGCGGGATGAACGACGGCGACTCGGTGGAGCATGCTTCCGTTTGTGGCGAGTTGGCCAGATTTGGTGCCAGACACCTGCGCCCCCCGTGCTTCTCGGAGGCTGGGCCACGGCGGCTTCGTTTTTTATATCGGACCCGCCGTCGGAGCTCACAGACGTGCACCTGATTCCGGGGGCTCTGCGAGTGGCCGCAACTTACCACCTGCACTGCCGCTTGCGCACTCAGCAGGCGGCGTTGTTCAGCGAACACACTGTTCACCGCGCATTGGAGCAGGCCATTCGCGAAACAGTCCAGGGAAATCGTGGCGCCACGACAACCTTCGGGACAAAGTGGGCATGGGCATCTGAGTTGCTGCTTCTTGTGGCCTTTTGCTTGTTGGCTTGGCCACGCATTCACCCAGTGTATTTGTTATTTTTGCGCGTTGCTCTCCCCTTCCTCCCTACCCTCATGCCCTCTCATGCTGCTTTTCCCCCTCCTCCTGCCCAGGTGCCGGCGTTTGTGGCCCGAGCATCGGCCCCGCGGCCGGGGCAGCTGACGGCGCCGTTTTGCGCAGGGTGGGGGTCGGGATGTGTCCGCCCACGCTTGGTCGCATTGGCCGCCGCGGCCACCACCGAAGGTCAGCGTGGTTAGCAGCCGCGTGGCGCCAGCCGCACGCCTCTCCCTGGGGGCCACACGCTCCGGGGGGCAGGGGACCGGCCCTCCCCCTCCCCCTTCCTCCTGCCTCTCCTGTTCCCGTCTCTCCCTTCCTCGGCTCGCCTTCCCCCGCGTCTTCCTGTTCCTGCTCGTGCCCTCGCCGTTCTCCTCTCCTCTCCTCCCCCGTCGTCCTCGTCCTCGTCCTCGCCCTCGCTCGTCATCGTTTGTTGGCCTCGTCGCCGTCGTGGTCGCCGTCGGTGCCCTCGGTGTCGTCGCCGTGCTCTTCTCGTCGCCGTCGGCCTTGTCGTCGCCGTCCGCGTCGTCGGCGGGGTAATTTCGTCGCCGTCGTCGGCGTGGGGCGGCCCCCGCCTCTGAATCAAGTCAACGCTGCTTCTCCCTGCCTCGCTGTCCTTCCCTCTACCGCCTCTTTGCCACGCAGTCGTCTCCGCCTGCGGGCCGCTACGAATTTACAGGTAGTTCGCATCTTCGTCCAGGGCCAGGCATTTCGGGTATGCCAGCGCATGTTGATAAGTACTTTCGTATCCCTTTTTCTTCCCCTCCCTCCTTATAGCGTCCTTTTTATTATCCTTCCCCCTCCCGCGTTTTTCCCGGGGGAAGCCAGGGGTGCGTGGTCATCCTGGCGTTTCATTGGCGCCTGCGTGCCGTATGCACGGCCAGGGCGTACTGGCAGGCTTCCAGCTGCCCAGGGCATGGAGCCGCTCCTCTCTCGAAAGCCGCATCTGTCCCGCGCTCTTGCGTTTGGCAGTGGCGCCCGCTCAGCGACGACATACGAAGCTATTGGGAAGCGTTGATTGCCCAGTCCACCGCCTCGTCTCGTGAATACGGGTGCCATGTGCGGGGTGCCGGTTTGGGATGGCGCTCGCAGTTTTATGCCCTATCCTCCTCCTCCTCCTCCTCCTCCTCCTCCTCCTCCTCCTCCTCCTCCTCCTCCTCCCTCCTCCTCCTCCTCTCTCCTCCTCCTCCTCCCTCCTCCTCCTCCTCCTCCTCCCTCCTCCTCCTCCTCCTCCCTCCTCCTCCTCCTCCCCCTTCTCCTCATCCTCCTCATCCTCCTCCTCGGCTCCTTGGCCTCCTCCCTCTCCCCCCCCCCGATGGTTGATCGTTTAGCCAAGTTCGGAGCGGCCATGCATCCTAGGTTCTCTGCCGACGAGGAGCAGCACCTCGTCTGGCAGCTCAAAGTTTACCGTAATGTGTCTCGCCTCGCTGCTCGTCCTCTTCCGTCGTGGCCGCGGCTGGATCTCGACGGAATTCTTTACGAGGCCCCCCCCAAGGGCGCCCAGGGACTCCGCCTCCACCCTTGCAGGGGAACACGAGCGGAGGTGGTGCAGGACTTCCTGGCGCTGCGACAAGTGCCTCGGGTTTCGCAGGCAGGCCGCGCGTCCTTCGAACGAAGGTTGCGCGGAGAGCCTGCCCCCAGGTGTTCTGTCTGTTGCTGCACGCGGTCACTCCTGCCTGGCGCTGGAG